GCGCACGAGCCGTCGTTGGTCAAGATGGTCTCGCCGGGCTTGAGGTCGTCGTACTTGCAGGCGGCCATTCGTGAATGGCAATCTGGTCCGGCTTTCAAACCATATCTCACATGTGTCTCACTACCGTTATAAGTGACCTGTCAATGAGACAGACATGATATATGACAAAACAAAAGAGACATATTGGACAATAGAGAGGCGCGCTTCTGGGGGACAGCCACTCGGTCAGCGTCATCATCACAACGACGCCCGCAGGACGCCAAAGGGACCTCGCTATATGCAAAAGGAGTGCGGCTACAGCGACCTCAGCGACCAGCAGCGCGTGCTCGTGGCCGACGGCTCGTGCGGTGCGGCGGCGACCTGCCTTCTCGACCGCAACTGCGCAATCGCTCAGGTCTTGCCGGTCAACGCCACGCGCTTTGATCTAGAGAGCCACTGGTTGCTGGGCGACCTCTCGCGATACCCATACGACACACTGTACGTCCTTATTTGGTCAATTCTGTCATTGAATCGGGGACTAGAGAACTCGCGCACGTGCAGAGCGCCACGAGTGTGCACACCTATCTACAGTTCCCCGTCGATTTGCGCGCCTTGTGAGTAGGATGGCGTCGAACCTTGGGCTCATGCGTCTGCGCAGAGTGTTTGAGCAGGCGACGATCGACGCCGAGTCAAACGCGCACATGGGGCCGTCGATCGGCGCGTTCGAGCAACTGCAGCTGCCGCGTGCCCTCGAGAGCATGTATGAAGTCTCATGTAGTCCCCTCAAAGGCGCAATTTATGTATATAGGACACTGCGCAACTGTTCGGTGCAAGGCACGCTCCAGTTCTGGCGACTGGAGCACCTCCGACGACTGTACGCCGAATACTGTACCGACAAGATCCCTGTCTCAATGCTACGTAGTGAGCTCCGGAACTCGCGCTTGGGCGACTTTTGGCTCAACGGCGTCGGTGATTCTCTGCAGCATCTGTACGTTCTCAATTGTCGACCACTTTTGACCGCATCGGCAGCGTCCTCGACAAGTGCGTCACACGCTGGGACACCTTCCCTCTCTCGCTATCTCTCAAAGGACTGCGCACCCTGTACACACTCCAATCATCGATGGCTACGGTTTGGACATTGAGGATGTAGAGAGCTTGTTGGCGTGCGCACGCCAATCTTGCGACTCGAAGTGTCGACCGAGCTGCGCTACTTGTATCCTGCACTTTGGTTCTGATCCTGTTTTGACATTGGCGAGCGTAGTACCTGCGACGACTGCAACATCTCAAGTCTCATGGTCAGCAATGCTACGTACGCAGCACTCGCAGCCCTAGCGCCAGCCTCGCCAAACGCAACGAGTGGCTACCGCGTCAACCGTATTCAGCAAGACGTGGCGCAGTGCACGGCCGCGCGTGGCCAAATCAAGCGTCTGTGGGAAGCCACGTCAGTCTGCATCCCCGACCGCAACCGCCCGGAGACGGGTACTGTCATGTGTACCACACAAATTATAGTCTAGACTACTGTTGCTGCATAGACGCCTACGACGACTATCCCTGGATGTACCCTTACACCACATCTATCTATCTTGGAGGGAGCTTTGTCCTTGTGTGTATCATCCTCTTCTCTGTTTACGCCATTCGGCGCGGGCGCCGTGCGGTCAAGACGCGCCGAACAGCCAACGACGACTACCTCGCATCGACGCTCCGACCGAGTCAAATTGCGACGCTCCATATGCTCCAGATCGACGCCGACGCCATCGTTCTCTGCGGCACCAAGCCACTCGCCTCGGGTGCGTACGGCGACGTCTGGCGCGGTATCTACGCCCACACCACCGTCGCTCTCAAGCGCGTCAAGAGTCCATCGCCCGCCTCTGTCCACGACTTTATCCACGAGATTCTGCTCCTCCACACGTCTCTACTTCCTATTCTATCATTGCTATGTTGACATTCTCTGGATGTAGACTCGAGAGCCCGTACATTGTCCGACTGCTGGGTGTGCGCTGGCGCCGCCTCATGGACATTGAGGCCGTCGTCGAGTACTGCGACCTCGGCGACCTGCGCAGCTTCCTCGCCGCGTCCACGCTGGAAAATGTGTCGTGGAGTACAAAGGCGACGATCCTCGAGAGCATCGTGTACGGTCTCGTGTTTCTGCATACGTTTGAGCCGGTGATCATCCACCGCGATCTCAAGTCGCGCAATGTGCTTTTGGATTCGAGAAACGGAACCAAACTCAGCGACTTTGGCACTTCACGAATTCTCGACGACCAAAAGACGCTCACGAACGGCATTGGCACGTTCCAGTGGATGGCGCCCGAAGTCATTCTCGGCACCGAGTATACGGTGGCCGCCGACATTTACTCGTTTGGTACGGTCTAGGGCTAGGGCAATCTGGGGCTAGGGTTCTGATGTTTCTGATGTTTGATCTTGTGTAGGTGTCATTTTGTCTGAGATGAGTACGCACAAGGTTCCCTACAGCGATGCTTTGAACGCCTCGTCCGGCCGAGCACTGAGTCAGCAAGCCATCTTGTCGAAAGTCACATCCGGTGCACTGCGACCCACGTTCGCAGAGGCGGCTCCAAGCTGGTTGCTCGAGGTCGGGAATCGGTGCTTGTCGCTGGACCCGACGCAGCGACCGACGACACTCGAGCTCACGGTGCTCGTCCGGGACTTTGTCCAAGCGGCTACCGAGTACTAGTGCGTTTTGTGCGACCCAGGAGCGTGCATCCTGGATGCAATAGTCCATGTAAAACAATGTTAGTTCATAGTGTATACAGCAATGATCTGTTCGGAAAATTTGAAAATTGGATAGAAATATGTACTACCATAGGACTTGGTATCGTTGGGTTCCGGCGTCACGATAGAGCCTACACCGACTGAGACATGGCGCGCTGCACCATCGACGTGAGCAAAAGAGCCGTCGGGCGGTCCTCGGGCGACGCTGCCAGGCACTGGTGACCCATCTCGCGCACCCACGTTGGTGTCGTCACCGACTCGAACGTTGGTCGCAGCTCCCCCGACGTCACCTTGGCCATGATAGCTTGCTGCGTGTACGCGCGGCCCGTTGCGGGGTTGATCACGTCACCGTACGGCACGGCGTGCGTACTCAACTCGGACAAGATGACGCCTACAGCAGCAGCATCATCACAAATATCCATAAACCCTAATCTCCGGAGAGATCTTAGTACCAAACGAGTAAATGTCGGCGGCGATCGTATAGTCGGTGCCCATGATGACTTCGGGCGCCATCCACTGGTATGTACCAATGCCGTTGGTCATGTTGGCGTCGGACGCTTCACGAGACGCGCCAAAGTCGGTGAGCTTGGTCCCCTTCTTGGCATCCAAGAGGACGTTCCGGGACTTGAGGTCGCGATGGATGATCGCCGGCTCAAACGTATGGAGGTAGACAAGACCGCGGACGATGCTCATGATCGTCGACGTCTTTTGGCGCCAGTCAAACTGAGCCGAGGACGTTGTCCGGAGGTAGTTGCAGAGGTCGCCAAGGTCCATGTACTCGACGATGACTTCAATCTCGATCGGTCGGCGCCACCCGACGCCGACGAACGCGACAATGAAATCACTGTCCATCCTAGTCCACAACATAGAAGACAATATTTTCCACAAATAGCGATAACGTACTTGGCCATGAGCGTGATTTCGTCGATAAACTTGCGGACGCTCTCGACGCGGCGGTCCTTGATGCGCTTGATCGCGACCTTGTCGTTGCCGTACGCGCCAAGCCAAACTTCGCCAAAGGCACCGGACGCCAGTGGTTTCTTGGCCGTGACAACATAATCGCCGACGTCGAGCTTGTGCATGCGGAGGTCGTCGACGTTGAGACCCATCTCGCTGTAGTCACCGGTGCCTTGGGTACCGTTGTATGTTGCAAGGTCATAGTAGGTCGTGTCAGTGTTTGCACGCTTGGCGCGGCGGCGAAACAAAAGCGCAGTTAGGAGACTCAGTACGACGACGCCACCGACGGTGCAGCCGACGATCAGGCCCGTGTCTAGCATAAAGAGTCCATATGTGCTGCCTCGATCGTGTTTGTACTGCTGCTGGATGTGGAAGCCACGGACGTCGGCGTAGCAATCGGTGGATCTAATAGTTAGGAAAATCAGTAGAGGCTCGTATATGCTGAACACAACGTAGCGTACTTGGGAGGACGCAGATTTGCACATTGAAGCGGGAGGTGAGCAGCTTCTGGAGCGTCTGAACAGTACCGTTGCGCGCAGTGCACGCGGTAGCGTCGGCTGGGACGTTGGCGTCGATCGCCACGCCAGCAGGGTTTCTCAAGCCAAAATCGCCCACGGGCACGCTGTACCCAAGGCGGTCGAAGGCCTCAAACGACGTCTGGTACAGCGTAATACTGGTCAGCGAGCAGTTTCTGCAGCCACTATAAGGTGCCCATAAGATCAATAGGAATCGGAGGTGACAAGGCGGTACAAGTAGCGCAGGCCAGGGGACAGAGTGAGGTTGGTGATCGTGCGCAGATTCGGGTTGTCCGACAATTCCCTAACCACATAGTCACGAAACGCCAAGGTGTACTGTGGAGGTCGTACAAGGAGATTGTGCCAGACCAGTTGCGGTCGACAATGCTCGTCATGCTGTCGTCGCGTAACGTCCTAGTATCGATGTATCAAGGTGATACAGTGATAGATAGATGTGTACATGAGCGACGGGGACCGCGTCGGAATGAGATCCAGCATCTTGGACGACGACGTGAAGTTTTCGAGGTGGCTAGACGAGCGCACTGGATGAGCTACGACTCGCGAGATGTACATCTTTGTACAGTTCGCGCAAGACCGGCGCCACAATGCGCGGCATTGCGTTCACGCTGACGTTCTTGAGACTCCTAACCCCGTGGCATTTGTCAGTGGACGCCAGTTTCGTGAGAGTACAGCCGGTCCAGGCCGGAGGGCCAGATAAATGTGGCTGCAGTCTCGCCAAGCTGCGCGTTTCCGGCCATACTACAACAATGAGCGATAAGCGAACCGTCGTCGACAATCAGATGCACGAACAAGGTCGTGAGCGCCTCGGGGAGGATGCTTTTTTGACGCGGCGAGTCGAAAAGCGCGTGCACGGACGTATTCATGATGTACCTAGTCAACCAAGTGCATTTGGGAAATACGCTTGTCACGTACAGCTCGTTCAGTGTGGATGGCAAGATCGCGTCCTTCATGTCCACAGACGGCTGATCCCGAAGCCAGCTAGAGAGATATAGATGGGGCCACGTTGCTGCAATATATACGTACATGGACGAAGCATTGAGCGAGGCAATGTTCCCCACCGCGTTGCAAAGCGGGAGCTTGAGCGCCAGCGTGGACCACAAGCCCCACATCGCTTTAGTTGCATTCGCCGACGAGCACGAAGCCGTGTTGAGGAGGCAGCCAAAGGCAGGCGTTGCGCAGTAGGCGTCGTTGGTGTACACAAGCCAGTCGGACGATGAGGTATTGCGGCCATAACGAGCGCACTCGGCCTCGAGGCTCTGGGCCGTGACGCTGACCGGTACACAGAGAGCAAACAAGCAGAGACTGCGTCGCATGAAGCCACTTGAAAAGTGCGGTAAACCGGATCGCTGTCTGTGAACAATCGGGCGCGTCGACGTCGAGAAGCGTGTCACCCATGGCGCCTGTCGGAGCCGAGTCGGTCGTCTGCAGCGGCTTCGCGCGCCTGTTGTTGCTGAAGTAGCGTGGGACATGTCGCATGTGTCTCGTCGCCATCGTCACGAGCGATACCCTTGTGTCGTGTCGTAGGGAGAGTGCTTTGCATAGCAGTGTAGAGGAGCCTTGCTATTATAGGAGGCAATTCGCGTGTTCGCCTTTCTGTGGACAGGCCGTCCTATAGTAGAATGTTGCCAGGTATGACGACGCTTGAAGCGTGGGAGGAGCTGCAACCGCTACGATCACACGCAATCTCATTATGAATCCACTCATCTTCTGCCGTAGAGACGACCAGGTGTTTAGAGACGACCAGGTGTTTAGAGACGACCAGGTGTTTAGTGACGACCAGGTGTTACCTCAGGTCTTACCGGGACCGAAATCACGCCGCACTGCCGCGTCGGTGTAGCCCCTGGCAACTAGTTTGGACGACAATGGTCCTGCTGTGGCTATGCGATCCTCACAACACACCCGATCTGAAGCACGTCACTGGATTGCGGTCGGATCCAATCGTTCACACTATATATATATGAACGTGTTTCCCGTTGTCTTCATAAATACACAAAGACTTCGCATACGTAGAGACTAACAATCTCCTTCTTCTTCATTCGCTCGCCGGGCGTGGCTGCGCAGGCTGCGGCGCGGGGGCTTCTGTCGTCGCCCTACGACGCTTGTGGCTGCGGGTGAGGCACACGGTCGGTCATATCCTTCCAGGCGTCGCGGTCGGCGGCAAAGCTACGCAGTGTGTCAAGATCGTCGGGAGTCGCCAGCGACCGAGGCGGCGTCAGCGACTGGAGGTCGCGGTGCAGATCGACATCGTGATCTTGGTGCGGCCTGAGAAACGGGGCGCCTCCGATGGGGCGAAGAAGCGGTCCGCCGCTACGTTGGCCGGGATGTTGCGACCCAGCCGCAGCACGTGGCCTAGAAGGCGCCAACGCTGGCGGGCGACGATCGTACTCAACGGTTCGCTGTCGCAGCGTTTGTAGAGCGCAACGTCGGCAAGCGTGTTCGGGTGGAAGATCCCGAGCAGACGACGCAGCTGCCGGCGATGGAAGCTGTCAAGGCTGGTTGGCGTCAGGGCTCACGCGCCGCAGTTGTACAGGAGGACAGGGAGCATCGTATCGTCCGCATTTCGCTGATCCAAAATGAGAGCTTTTCTCAAATTACCTCCAGCGACAGAATATATGAATGTTTCGGCTTTTGATCCACACAAAACCATAAATTGATGTGACTTGAATACCATATATTGTAAAGCTTTAAGTTTGTATGCAATGGTCATGCGTTGATGCACTGTACATTGGCAGACTGCCGCGTAGACACAATTGAAATAAAACCACAAGCATCACGCCATGTCGCGACGCGAGAGCGCTGTCATATTATAGTTGCTATCAGTTGCTAGGTCTGTGGACATGTGTCGTCCTCTCATTGGTCGTAGCCCTAAACCTCAATGACGTCATCATTTCTGCTCGATGCCGTCAAGAAGGCGTGGTTCTTGTCGACTTCTTTAGTAGCGGTTTCGACACTCGTTTACCACCAGGTAGATCCAGGTTCGAGTCCAAAGATCTCGAAGATTCCATTGTTGCGATCATGGCAGTCCATGTGAGCACTGAAAAGCACGCGTTTTCTACACCGATAACATTCAATTCCAACGGCCATATCGATTTCCATTGATGTTGATGGCAACTCTAGACAATGAAAAACCATTGTATGCTTGGTGAAATGGCAGCCTATTGAAGATGGTGCGGCTTGGCGATGCGTAACTATAATAGTTCCAGGAGCGTGCGCTCCACGATTCGTTTTGAGTTCAAGCTTCGTGTAACAGGCAAAAGCAGCATCGTGCCGTCGAGAGGCTCGCACTTGCCTCGCTAGCTGTATATATGCAATAAACTAGTAGCTCTTCCTATATTCATTGACACAACCTGCTCACGTGGCAAGAGTTGACTGTGGGGGGCGCTCATCGAACGTTGTCATTGCGGAGGCCACGAGTCCTTCGCCTTCACTCTCAACCAACCGCGCAGAGGCGACTTTGCCAAGCACTTATAGCGTGTTGGCGTGTTCGGCACTGGCCTTTATCCGTCTCGCGCGCCTGGATGACTTCAAGTTGTCGCACGCATCGAAGCCAAAGTCACCAGCTGGTGGTCCGTCGCGATCATTGGAGCCCGTGCAGTTTCGATTTTACCACGGTTTTTCATGAGCAACGAGCGCGACGCCGCGTACTACATTGAGCACATCCCGATGCTGCCGCACCCGGAAGAGAACGGGTACTACGCGGTCCAGCACCGGTCGACGAACCTCATGGCGACGCCGGGCTGGGACGGCCCGCCGACCCGCGGCTGCCTCTCGACCATCTTTTACATGGTCCAACCGGTTATGTTTATCCACGTCAACCGGTCCGAGATTGCCCATTTCTGGCAAGCGGGCAGCGCGATTCGGTACGTCATGGTCAACCCTACGACGCTCGAGACGACCGAGCTCATTCTTGGCCCGGACGTGCACCTTGGCCACGTACTGCAGTTTACGTGCCCGGGCGGCTGGTGGAAGGGCGCTGAGGTGCTCGATACGTCCATCAACTTTGGCCTTGTCTCGGAGGCCGTGAGCCCGGCGTTCGACTACTCGGACACGTGGCTCGTCGAGGCCACCGATATTCCCGAGTCGCACGCGACGCTGCGTCGGTTTTGCCGCCCGGCCGGCTGGAGCTGCACGACGGAGAAGGAGATCCAAGCCAACTACGCCTTGACCAAGAACCGCGCGACCAAGTAAATGTATTTTTTGTTGGACATAATTGTGGTGGTCGTCTGAAGATGGGATACCTCGCACAATGCTACGACAAGGTTGGATCCAAGTTGGTTGCGAGTCGCGACACATGATTAGTTGCAGATAATGCTGCCGGCTCCGTGGACGTAGCTCTTCTTGATGACGAGAGAGCACGTGTCCGCGACCGACGTTTGGGGCGTGCTATGCTCGCAGCATGGGTGTACATTCTTTGTAATTGGTGAGCCGAAAGCTAGCAGCGGCTACTAAATATGAACATGGTTCGCGTTATCTTCGTTGTACTAGACTACTAAAATCGAAGCCTCCGTATCCACTTGTTGAAGCGGGAAAACGTGGCACCGTAGCTGAAACCAAGGAAAGAGGTTTCTGCCAATTCATCGTCCTGTTGCGTCAAGCGTCGACTTGAAAGAATAGTCAAGACGCTGCGTTCGTTACACAATGCAAATGTCTGCGGCACGCCGACGATCTTTATTTGCTACAAGAGCTCCAAGTAGGACTGTTCTTTGTTCCTTCCCAACGACGTCCATCAACCTTCCAGTTCTCGATCCGCCCATCACGGTCCTCTTGACGCGCTTCCGGTCCTCCCACAAGGCCGTTCGTACGTAATTTCTCATCATTTTCGCCAACGACCTCGTTGCACGACCCTTCCTCCTTCTCTGCTTCCTAGTCGCTTTAGCGACTAGCTAAAGCGACTAGGAAGCAGAGAAGGAGGAAGGGTCGTGCGCTTTAGCGTGCTATCGACACGTCCTTACCGAGGGAATCCCCAATATTCCCAAGGTCTTACGGAGGTAAAGACCCGTCCATCGCGTGGCGCATGGAGACGCCAGCATTTGGCCAAAGCGCACTTATCGCATTCCTCTTGTTGTTTGTATGCAGCTTTGGATTTCAACAGCTTGTTTTTTGTATATGCTTCAACCGGACTTAACAGAGTGCACGCCAGCAAACCTGTGCTTTTGTATATTCTGTATGTAGTAATTCTTGTGGCAAGCAATTTCTTTAAGATAAGTACACCTAAAACCTTGCATAATTGATACCTTGTTAAAAACAAATATAGAGCATCGGCGCTGCCATTCGCCACGACCCGGCGTCATGCAGTTCCGCATTTTCCGAGTTTGCCGGTTCGCTGCCAGGCCAACCTGCCACCGCCGACCGTAGCAGCATGGTCGACACCCGCGGACGCATCCGAACATGCCAGGCCAACGTCGTGAGCGCGCGCAGCCGGCTGCACTCGCCGCTCTTCCGCAACACGCGCTGCAGCACGTCGGCAACCTCGAGCACCGTCGACGAGACCGACGACGACCCGCTCGTGCGCGAGACGCCGCTGTACCGCCACAAGCAAGTGTTTTTCGGTGCCGACTTTGACGCCAAGGCGGCGCCGCCACAGCGCAGCCCGGCCTCGACGCGGTCGTCTCTGTTGGACGACAAGCCGCATAGCCTTGCCCGCTCGCACACCGGCTCGAGCCTGCGGTTAACATTGGACGACGATGCGCTCGCCGAGTGTCGCTCGGACACGACGCTGAGTGGCCTCGACACGACGTGGGAGACGCCGCCTTTGACGGCCGAGAACATTGGCAAGGTGCTGCGCGACCACTCGTACCCGCGCGCGCTCGCCGTCAGCAGCGAGATTTCCGACTCGCTCTCGCGCATGAAGATGCGCAAGCACGAGATGGAGATGGCGGCGGTCGTCCAGAAGGTCCAAGCGCAGCTCAAGACGATGGAGGACGTCATCAAGGAGCTCCAGAACGAGCACACGATCAAAAACGAAATGCTGAAAAAGCAAATTGCCGAATCGCAGCGCGTTGCCGCCGAGCGCGACCAGCTCAAGCACGCGCTGTCGACCGTCTCGGTGTCCAACAACCCGCGTCACGACACGAATGACGACGTGTCGATGCTCCAGAGCTCGCTGCAGGCGTTTATGAACCAGACGGAGCACACGCAGTACCTCCTTGTCGAGCAGCTCAAGACGATGGCGGCGCCCAAAGGCTCGCCGCGCCGAGGGTCGATCGACGCGCACAAGATCGAAGCCTCGGTCAAGGCCGCGATGAGCGATGTCGCCCAGCTCCAGCGGACGATGCTGACGACGCTCGAGACCTCGCGTCAAAGTCCTGCGCCCGCGACGGCCTCGACGCCTACCAAAGCTCGGGCGCTGCCACCGCCGCCACCGACGTCGTCGGGGCTCTGGAAGGCGGCCGTGATGGCCATGGCTGCTATCTGGCTTGCGACCCTCGGTGTCGGGACCGGCTACGTGACTGTCAACCTTGACGCCGTAGCGCGCTTTGTGTCGCTTGGCCACGGTGAAGCGCTGCAGCCTGTCGTCTCAGTCTCATCGACGCTACATGAGAGCGTGCCTACGACGGCGAACGCCATCGATGCACCATTGTCGTTCGCCTCGAAGGACGACACCGCCGTAATCACGGTGCTCGTGGACGTTGACGGTGACGTAGCTCCGCAAGGCGACGCCGTTGATGTCAGTACCAGCTCGACGGTCGCTGACCCGGTTGAAGCTGCCACCGACGTCTCGAGTCGTGTGACGGCGCTCGATGACAAGGACGGCGTCGACAATGCCGTGGAGCGTGTGACGTTTGTCGCAAATGAGATCGCGGATGACGCGATGACGGTGGACGTTGTCATGGCTGTGACGCCCGAGCACGTCGAGACGGAGCTTTTGGTCAAGGCCCAAGATCATGACGCGAGCACGGACCAAAGCAACGACGGTGTCAGTATCATTGACGAGGACGGTGTCGACGCACCCGAGGTTGCTGTCGCGCCGTTGTCGGATGCCATCGACGGGACGATCGAGGTCGAGCAGGCGTCGCTGGTCGTCGAGGCGGACGAAGGCCACCTCGAGGGTGCAGCGGTTGCTCTTGTCGACACCGTTGACGAGCTCAACGCAGTGGTAACCACACAGTACGAGTCGAATGCCATCGCTGCCGAAGACGCTCAAGATGAAGTCGCCGCCGCTGTCGATATGTGGTCGGACGCCATTGCTGTCGTTGACGAAGCACGCGACGCTGGTGCTAGCTCCTCGAACGACTCGAGCGTCAACGCGCGTGCTCTGGTCGTTGTTGTGAAGGATGCCGACGATCACCTGGCCGACGACATGGGCGAAGCTGTCGACGTTGTCGATGACGGCATCGAGACGCCAAGCGACGTCACAGACACGGACATGACGGTGGCAACGACCGCGTTTCATGACGCTACTGACAATGAAGCTGACGTTGAGACGCTCTTGTCGCGTGTCGCACCGACCCCTAGCCCGCAAGATTCGATTGCAGAATCTTCGCCGTCGGCGGCTCTGAGCTCGACCGCGTTGCAGTCGCTGCTCTCGCTTCATTAACTGCTTAATTTAATCACTTTGTGTCAACAGTCAATTGTGTTTTCCACGGTTTGATGGTCACGGAAGCGCGACAGTCTCTCGACAACCATCCGACGTGCACCATGGCGCTCGTACCGACGAGTCGCACTTCACTGGACTTTGCCATCGCCAGCCTGCGCACCATTTAATAGCGTGCATTGGCTCCGATGCAGTAGTGCTGGGTCGACTTTAGTAAAGCGTTCGAGCTCGCGTACACGGAGGCGCGGCAGGACCGCTGTCGTCCTCGGTATGCCACTCGACTCTGTCTGTCGCAACATTTGCTGCACAGCTTTCACTCGAACAATCTTGGCACATCAAGTAGATCTCGAGGCATCCGCGATAAACGTCCGTTGGCTCGACTCGATCTCTTCCGTGCAGACAGCGGTTGCCGACGAAATTACGTACTGGAAGCTGCATGGCATCACTGTGTACCACTCCAATTGACCGAGCGGTGTTGTCCCTTGTCTCGATGAGACTGCGACGCCCTTGGCTCGGGAATGTCAAATTTCCTGTGGTCAAGCTCTAGATCTGGCCAGTGAGCCTCATTCGCGGCGGGCTAAACTACAATCCCAATACGACCACATTCGTTGTCCTATGCGACCTGACTACAACTTTGGCGCCAATCAAGTGCGTTGCCTCCACTGACCGCTCTGGTCCCGACGATTGCTCCAGTTGTCAACTGAAAAATACGCGGTAGAAATATGTGTCAACGAGTTGCACAAGATCACCACGTCTCATTTCGCTAACCGAGTGCATTTATGTCTCTAGCGCTATCTCGTTCCGACGCGAATCGCCATTTACTAGGGGTAGGGCCCGACAGAGTCGAGGGTCCCGAGTACCGCCGTTGGATAGCCGATGCAGGCGCCACGTCTTGACGTCCATCACAAACCACTCGTCTCTCCAGCCGACGCTCACGAGCCCGTTGACGACGGCCGACGCTCGGTCCATGTAGTAGACATCGTGCTTGATCCAAGTCTCGTGTCGAAAGAGGAACTTTGCGCCACTGCACAGCAAGAGCGACGACGACCGTAGTCGCGAATCGTCTTGGTAGTACCACCGAGCAACACTGTAACAGAGCACGTTGCAGCCAAAGACGACGCCAATCAACGTCAGTAGCCGAGCACGGGACCCGATCAGGACCGCACCCGCACTGCACTGCACCTGGTAGTCGAGCGAGACGACCGCACACGACTTGGCAATTGAAATACTCGCCTGAACCGGTGCCAAGATGGCTAGAAGCGCCGAGACGAGCCACACGAGAAGACTGTTGATGAGAGCGTATTTTGGCAGGTGCCACGTCGTCCATGGCAGTCCGAGGTCGTTGACGATACCGACAAGCCACGTGACTTCGTTGGCTGCGAGACACGTCGTGTACCAAGGCACCGCTTGCGACGTAAAGTAGCTGAGCTGGCCATCGGTCGTGAGCTGCACCGAGGCCGACGAGAGAAGAGCGAGGGCCGTGATGCTCCTGAGACCGATGAGCGGTCGTCCGACCCAAACAAGACCGCCAACGCGACTGAGTTTGAGCAGGTTGCGGCCTTCGATGGCGCCGCGCACACGGATAAGATAAATAAGCGAGAGAACCGCGAGTGCAATGATAGAGACGGTGACGTACTGGACAGCGCGCCGCGCGTAGAGAGCAAGGACAGTTGGCAGCTGCGCCGCGTCGTCTGTCTGCTCTAGGTGCGGTAGATCGCTACCCATGGCGGTGAGCGTGCCCAGGTCGCCTTGAAACGAAATGACTTCGCGGTTCCCGAGTGCCCAATCGTACAAAAAGAGCCACGCCACGTAGTCGAACGTCGCGTCGGACGGGTCGAGTACGGGGAGATGGTAGAGCTCCATAGGCGCTGTGGTGTTGAGCGCGCCAAACTGGACCCACTGAATCTGGAGCTCGTGAATGGCAGCGTAGAGGGACGGTCGCCAGTGGCTAAGGTCCGGCACGTGCAAAAGAAAGGCCATCGCAGTGTGTAGTTTGGTCTCGCAATAAGGTATGTTGCTCAAGGGCTCGAGCAGGCAAATCGCCGTGACGTTGGTCGTCGCATCGATACCCGCGACAAGCACACTGAAAAGAATGTGGTCGCGCGATGAAACCATGCTGAGCGCCGTATGGTATAGAGCTTCGCAGCCCTTCTGGTAAGCGTCCGCACCAAGGATCAACGTGAGCTTCGCGAGGTACGCACTTGGCTGGTCGGGACACAAGACGGAGCCACTCGCCGCGTACACGGTCTTGGCCCACAGCGCCGGCGCTGGAAAGGTATGGTACTCATCACGGATCAGCACATACGACGAGGTAGCTAGCTTCCTCGCACCAGCCACCGCAACGTCAAACGCACAAATGGCTTCGCTTAGGACCGATGGGACGCTGACGTAGACCATGTCGATCGATCCAAATGGCCCAAGATACGACGATAAGAGCTCGTAATTGGCACTCCACGGCCAAGGTGGTAACATCTTTTCGGTCACGAGAATCTCTTGTAGTGAGGTATTTTGAAATGCAAATCGACTGCTCGACCGGAGGAGACTCTTGCCACTTATGGTCGATGTGTTTTTGAGGAGAGCGCCGAGATCGCTGGCGAGCGACCAGTACATTTTGAACGACGTTTGACTCTCCAAGCGGTGGTAGCCCGCGGTTGCCTGCAGCATAAAAGGATACGAGATGCCGTAGGCGTTGACAATGTTGTACGAGTTGACGAGACCGATCGACTTGTAGTTTTGCCACTGTAGTGTATACGACGAGATATTTCGTAGTGTCCAATAAGACACTTCGTCGTCGATCGAGAGGTACGGTGGGGTGAATGAAGCCAAGAGAGTTTGTCCTGTTTTGGATTGACGCAGCTCGGAGCCAAACCCAATCTCAAATTCTTCGTTCCAGCACGTTGAGATATCAATATTTCGAAGCAAAGAAGCGAGAAAGACGGCGCCGTTACTGACCATCGACTTGCATCGTTCTTGGCGCTTGGTCGAGTTGGCCATTTCCCATTTTTGATCAAAGTCGAGGTAGCAGTACTGCGTAAAGACCCACGGACCATCACAACCATCCAAAGTACGAAGCCCCGAGATCGTATCCGAGAGTGTGGTTAGGGTTGAGTACTGGACTCTTGCGCCTTGCTGGATGGGAAAACCAATCGAAGCCGCCGTCGTGTTGAAGACTCCAAGTTGATTGCCAACAGTACTCTCCAGAGCATACGACGCCGTACTCGAGGACGACTGCAACATCCAGTTGGCCAAGAAGACATATGTGCCCGTCATGTTGAAGGCGAGCCAAATGAGATCATTGCTGAGCGTCATTTCCAAGACCTGGAGGTACGAGATGCTGCTGCCAATGTCGAGGCCAACGTAGATAGCGCCAGCGACAAGCCATACAAAAGCCTTGCTTGGCGAAGAGCACGTCCCGCGACATCCTCTTCTGTTTGATTTCGAGATTTTGACGGTGACACGAGGACCACAAAGCGGCACGACGGACGAGAATTCTTCGGAAGCGGGGTGAATAAGCGTCCAGAGCTTGATGTCGAAAAGAGTACCATGACGCCACGGAAGCAGACCCATGCAAATATCGTCTACGCTTCGTTTATCATGGCTGTTTTGGTCAAAGAAGGCGACAGCGACGCCCGGCACGAGCAGCGAACAAGAGCCTTCTCGCCGGTGGTCGTTGTAGCAATGAAAGAACGCTATCGATACGAGGGCGGCGCAGCCCCCCAACGCAGCTAGCACAAAGAGACGACCAGGACTCCCGAGCGCCATTGTGCAGCTATGGCAATGAATTTGGATCACATAGGCCTGCATGGTCGCTATGTCTTGTGCGACGCACGACCGGTTTATTGATACAACGACAGACACGGGCCAGACAACGTCGAGGACAATGCAACTACACCCGAGGAGAGCTGTACTCAATATGCCAGCCTCGCGCGCACCGTGGCGCGTAAGCGGCAGCAAAAGCTCTTGCAGCACGTAGCTCACCCACGTCGCCTCCCACGACAACACTAACGTCTCCAAAAGCAAGCGTCGCGGCAGCTCAAGTTGTGTGAATAAGTTGTGGGAGCGAGATAGACCAACCGGCGCCGAGCTCAGGAGCAGCATGGCGGTCGTCCCTCGAAGCAGCACCAGCGGGCGCCCGAGCCACGTCGAGCTTGCGACGCGGTAAAAGTAGGCGATCGACGCTCGGTGCACTGGACGACGATGCGAACAGAGGCCGACGGTACAAACGAGGACAAGTGCGCCAAGAACCAGCGTCGAGTAGACCACGAGGTAGTAGACGGTGATCGAAGCTCGACTCAAGACACTGGACGCTGGCGATGTTTGCGCTGTCGTGTCGTAGTCGTCGGAGATCAAGACAAGCGTCCCGTTGTCGCCCTCAAACGAGACGACTTCTCGAACGCCTACGACCCAGTCGAAGAGTAGAACCCAGCCGTAAAACGCAAATGGCGATTGGTCCAATAGCGGTTGTCGTAGCAGCGTGTAGTTGGTTTCGGTGACGTCCGAGGCAGCTTGAATGACGCTGACGTCAAGCGCTCTGACTGCTGTGACGGCGTCCTGCACGAGCGTTTGATTGAGCGTGCGTAGTGCAAGTGTCTTCGCTTGTTGCAGAAACGGCGTGCACGCATCTGAGGTACCGAGTGCGCAGATGCTCTCAATGGAATCACTCACAAGCGAGAGAGCGGAGACCATTGCCAGCGGTGCCACCGACACGGTCCAGAGCGTTTGAACGTCGCACGCATCGGTGGTCGTGAATGGCGGCTGAAGAAACGTCTGCGGCGTATCGTAGCTGCACATGAGGTTCCCACCGTAGTAGACGTACTGCTTCCACGCCGGCGGTATCGGCGCCACAGTTAACGTCCGAAGAGTTGCGTAAGTAGTTGGGGACGCGCTGTTGAGTGATTCATATAACGCAGCTGAGACGCTCTTCGTGAGCGACACCAACGCCACCGGAGGCGACAGAACAAGGAGGTCAATCGAGAGGAATGGACCGAGCGTGCTGTGGACCAAGCTCACTTGATGCGCACCAAACATGTTGAACCCATACGCAAAGTTCTCCAACGATAGTGGCGGCGCTCCGAGGGACAACGTACTATTGAGGAAGTAGTCGGACGATCCTCGAATGAGACTTGCGTTGCTTGATCCGGCTACCCATATGCCCAAGAGAAAAGACTCGTAGAACGAGATGGACAAGCCGGGGCCTTGGCTGTGCTCGATGCTCTTGAGTGTGAGAGATGTTGGAATACCAAGGGCGTTGAGGAGCGTCGCAGTCTCAACGAGACCAGGAAGCTCGACGCTTTGCCACTGGTAGTGAAAAACCTCAATGCCAGCACGCTGCCAGTATACGACTTCTGCTGGCACCAAAGTCGAGACGGAAGCGACGGTCTTCATCCAGTCGACACCGCGCTGCGACGACTCGAGACCACGCAAGATGGCCCACCACAAGTTGGAGTTGCGGCTGCCGTACTTGGCGACATAGGCGCTCCAGTCCATATTGCGATAGACAGCCTCGAGGTACACGGCGCCGTTGGCGGCGTATCGATGAAAACAGCGCTTCTGCCGCGATTCCGTGTACGCGAGCTCGAACGTTTTGTCAAAGTCGATCCAGCAGTACTGCGTCGGGAGCCAATGAACGCTGTTCAAGGACGTATTGCGCAGACTTATGATGGCACCCTCGAGGGATGAGCGGCTCGTTGTCAGTAGCGCCATCGCGTACGTTGGGTGCACCATAGCATTGGGCAAGACACCGTCGTAGCGCGCGTCAACCATCTCCAGGCTCAAGTCGACGGTCGAGGCATCCGGCGTCGACTCCAAGAGCGCATTCAGTAGGTCGATGACGAAGATTTGGTACCCCGAGGCATTGTAGTTCGGCCAGAAAAGGTCGTTGGCGAGGTGCGGTTGCAGCAGAGTCAGGTAGTAGAAACTAGGAACCAGCACGAGCCAAAGCCAGAGCAGACCCAGCGCCTTTGGCATACGATCAGAGCGTTCGTTCTCCGAGGGGAGGGCGGTCGCCAGCGGTGCCACTTGCATCGCAGCACCGTCTTTTGTAAAACGCGTTTCGTCCGGGGAGTTGGACGCTCTTTTTAGCAAGGCAAATAACCGCCAACATCCAAGCTCCGGGCCGACTCTCATATTCAAGTAGTAGGCTCCACGTCCTATCCCTCTTGGCTCACCGCAATGCTCTTGGGAATATACATGAGTTTTGTTGGAAGTTCCATTTTCGAGCTCAAAATCTCATGGCTCACCGCTGCCAAAATGAGATGAAAGATGCAATTTAGCTTGGACTCTCGGTGGGACTGGGTGGGACTCGTCTCGGACAAGGCGCCAGCCACCATATATTTAAAGTTTATATATGTTTGTATAGTTATTGACTAGAGCCCGACGAGCCCCCGCGCCGCCGCCCGCCTACGCAGCCACGGCCCGGCGAGCGAATGAAGAAGAAGGAGATTGCTAGTCTCTACGTATGCGAAGTCGTTGTAACAATGAAGATAACGCGCAACACGCTTATATATATCGTCATCGACTCAAAAGACGCCACGTCCTCCATAGCAGGGTTCAGCCACGGTGCTAGCCAAGTACCAGTACGAGCATCGAAATGGCCACTGCGAGCCCGACGTCCAGAACGTAGTGTGGCGCCCAGGACGACGCGTGCAGTGGCGGCGCGGTTGCATTCGTTTGCGTGTAGTTGGGGTGTGCCATCGGGTACGTCAAGCGCAGAAGCGTCTCGATCGGGACGTTTTCCAAGTGGTGGAGGTTCAGCGGACCAGTGGTTGTCGGTACAACGCACTCGTCGAGGGCTGCAAAGCTCGTCTTGAGCTCCGTGTAAAAGGCCTGGCAGTCAGGCGTCACGGCAAAACCTACGCCATACATGAGAGACCACAGTGCTGCAGCGAGACGGGCGTAGTACGCTGCCACTGTGCATCGCTCGGAAATTCGCCCGCGTTGTACGCTGCAAAGCTCACACCGCAGGCGCGGAGGCACGGCGCCAGGCTGCGCGAGCTCGTCATGACGCTAGCAACGTCGACAAACATGCCCATGGGACACACGGGCACGGCGGCGGTCCAGGCGAGGGACACGAGCACGCTGGCCGCGACAGTCCGCGCCATGTCAGATTTGCACGTCGATTGCCAGTGTGCCATCTGGTGTGACTGGTTTCACTATTTTAGGCATATGCCGCAAATAAACCGGACTGCTTCACTTCCGACCCCTGAACAGCCAGCCAGTCGCCCAAGCTAAGAATGAACGACCCGATCAAGCGAGGAAGAGGATGCAAACTCGTGTGTTGCTTGCATGTGTAGTGAGCTGCTGGCTTCTGTAGGTTGGACATACCCTGGCATACTGGTGCTGTTCCTTGGGCCTTCCAAGCAGCGGGTAGAAAGGGCAAGTTGGCCATGAGACGGCGCTGGTCTGAGAAACGCGCGCACTGCCACGTGCGCGATGCAATTCGCTAAAGCAGTATACGATGACGAATAAACGCAGCATAACTACGGCGTACGGCGCGCATGTAACGGGGCAAATCAACTTGGATTAGCGAATTTGCGTCTCCAGCGCGATCCGGTCTTTCATTTGAGAAATGGACGTCGTCGTCGTGATCCTCTTGACGCTCTGCAGCGCCGTCACCGGAGACGACAAGGCTACACCGCCCCCGGTACCGACGGCCCCGAACGGCCTCCCTCTGTGCGCAATGATGGAAGGCATCGACGGCTACTTCACGCCGCTGTACGACCAGCCAGCGTTTGCGCGTTGCATGCGCGAGGCCGACATGGCCGACGTCGACTTTCTCGCGTCCAGCGAGCCGCCGTCCGAGGCGCAGCTCGAGCTTTTTTTTCATAGCAGCTCGTGCCGAACTCTGTACTCAGCACTGCTCCGCGTGCTCACCGAGGAGATGCCTCTGTGCGCCATAGACCGCACCGGCACGTCCATCAAGACGCTCGGCGATAAGACATTTGACGAGCTTCAACATGCGCTGCTGACGAGCCAAGCTGAGCATGGCTGGATGACGTCGTTCAACCTATAGTCGAAGTGTTTGTGAAGCAAGAGTAATTATTCGAGTCGTTGTTTGAGCCCAGGATATGGTTTGCCTGCCTTGTCGAAATTATGACGAGCGTCTACCGGTAGTCTTTTCGTGCCTGGATGCACTCACAGTAGTAGTATTACCGTGCGATGCGCTCGAAGGAGCTGCTCGTGAGGAGTGTGGCCGAACACTCGTTGGAGTTTGAACTCTTCCAGCATCGCCGTCGTCGTTGATATGGAGTTGCTGACTCTACACAGATTCGAAGTAGTACTATCTAGCAACATCATGACACTCAACCGGCATGCAGCGAGACCGGCGACGGTGTGCCGGCTCAGATTTCTCGATTCCCATTGGTGTAAATATCATAGTATTATGGCCAATCAACGACGGTAAACTTCAACCGGGTATAACACCTCTTATCGGCTGCTGTCGATGACATGAAGACACTTTTCATAGCCTAAAACGTGTACTTTATCAATGTGCCAAGTAGGAGCGATTTCACTTCCAAACGTGATTTTGCGATTCGAGCGCCTCGGCGGCCGCCGCTGCATTTTGGATCGCATTCCAATTGGTCAAAAAGAGCAATTTTTAGCAAATCGACCGTGTTGGTGGATTCTGCGCCGGACTGCACTGGGAATCCCGTTGCGGCGAAAACACCCCCATGAGCACATTGTGTACATATTTATCGTCGCCAATTTGACGACATATGCATTTATACGTGCAAGACTATCGACTTGATTTTATGTGAAAAGGCTGGTTGGGTTTGGATAGGAGGAGGCGCGGGCGGTGATTGGCCATAATACAAACTGGCTCGACGCCATCATTTTTACGAACGAGCCAGCAGCAAAATGGGCATGCGGAGGCTGATCGTGGGCCTCGTCGTCGTTCTCGCGCTTGCTCTCGCCGCCGACTTGCCGAGCTGCCAGAGCGACCAGTTCTATGGCAACTACTTTGCGTCGATCCAGTCCCACCCGTCGCTGCTGCCGTGCATGCGCGCCGCCAACATGACCGACCGCGTCTTCCTCCAGATGACGCTCTTGGCACCGACGCACGCCCAAGTCGCCGCTTTCTTTGCGAGCGCCGACTGCGAATCAGTCTTCAACGAGGTCACGCGCGTGTACCGTGAGGTTTTTCCAGCGTCCTGCGCGTTCAACGCCGATGGGTTGGACATCAAGGCGCTGGGCGCGCTGACATTTGAACAGCTCAAGCTCGCGATGCTCAACGCCACGATCGCCGTCTAAAAACGATTCCTCGTTGAACCATAGTGATGCTACCTAATTGTTTGTGTATACGACTATACTATCTTGAAGCCTCGAGGTACACGGCGCCGTTGGCGGCGTATCGATGAAAACAGCGCTTCTGCCGCGATTCGGTGTACGCAAGCTCGAACGTTTTTTCAAAGTCGATCCAGCAGTACTGCGTCGGGAGCCAATGAACGCTGTTCAAGGACGTATTGCGCAGACTTATGATGGCACCCTCGAGGGATGAGCA